ATAAAATTCTGGAAAAAAAATGAATTTAGTTTACCATTCTTTAAAAGTCTCAGCACGTTTACCCAACGGATTCACTTCTGATCTACACCAGAGTCAGTTCTTGTAGATAAGGAAATTCCTATTTAACATGTTAAACATGTAGTTTTTGTTATTGATATTGATTGAAAATAATAATAAATATGAATTACAATTAATTAATGACAGAAGGGTCAAATAGACCCACGAACATTGAATGTTCATCTAGCACCATGAATTAAAATATGATCTATGTAGGCCATTATACTCTCAATTATTTTTCATCTAGCATTTTTAGCAAGTTTCTAACAAGTAACCCATATAATTTACTTACATGGAAACATAAAATAAAAATAAAATGTTGACATGTTATTTTTCATCTAACTTGCTATTTTTGTCACTTTTTTTAATGTAGAAAAAAATTCATTTTTTATATGTATTTTCGAATTATGTTGATTTTTTATATGGCTTGAAAGATTTCAACTCCTCCTCTGTTGCGAGTGTTGAGTGTGAAAACATGTAGGGGTATTCTAATCGGAATGCATCCTTGCTGTTGTTACCATAAATTTTCCATGCAAAATGTATATTTTTGTCGTGGAGGGATACCCATCACCTTCAGAACACATGGCCGCCTCCCTCGGGGACATATGACAGTCTCCTTTCTTCGTTGTCTATCTCTTTCTCTTACCAGTGCTGCACATTATACCTCTTAACGCGAAGTTCCTTAGCTTTTACTTCAGTCAGATTGTAGCTGCAGCCAGTAAACGCAAGCATGTTCTTTTCGTATCTACACTCAAAGGAAGGCGGTTAATTAAGTTACACCTTAACATTAAATCAAAAGTCGTGTTAGTTATTATACCTCAAATGAAGAGCAATATACAGATCATCGTTGTCCCTTAGTCTATAAACCAGCTTTTTTTCAAGCTCTTCAATCTTAGGTGTGTACCGAAGATCTTTATAAAATAAAAACCAATTCCAATGCCAATAAACGGGTTCAAAACCACAAAAGCGGTAACATACTTATTTCACAGCCGACGGAAAAAATAGATTCACTATTTTTTTGGAAAAAGTTGTAGAAGAAATCAACATAATCTGAAAATAAGTAAAAAAAAAATTGAATTTTTCTGCCGAAAAAAGTGACAAAAATAGCAAGTTAGATGAAAAAAATAACATGTCAGCATTTTGTTTTTATTTTATTTTTCCATGTAAGCAAATTAAATGGGTTACTTGTTAGATACTTGCTAAAAATGCTAGATGAAATAAAAATAATTGAGAGTATAATGATCTAGATGAACCATATTTTAATTCATGGTGCTACATAAACAATCAATGTTAGTACATAGGTCTATTTGACCCTTCTACCTAAACTAATCGATAAAGAAGATGTTTATGCGGCAAAAGTTTATCATTTCTAATAAGTAGATTTAAGACTTAATCATGTTACTGTACTCTTATAGAAATAATAAATCTACTATATCTACTATCTATCTACTATATATATATATATATATATATATATATATATATATATATATACTAATAAGAGCCAAACAGAGTTAGGTCTATAATAGATAGAAAAAATGACGGTCAAATTTTTTAATCAAATGAATGGCTCAGATTTTAATTTTTCCTTCAGATTTCCTAATTTATCCTTAGTTATATGATTATCCGTTAACTTTTCCGTTAAATATTATCTTCTCTGTTAATTTTTGTTAGTTCACCATTAACTTACTCATTGATTTCAATAAGAAATGTCTTAGGTTCGAACCCTATCCCAATTATAGTTGGCATAATTAGTACTATTTTATTCTTATTAAATTAAATAATAATTTAGTAGTTACAACAAAAAATAATACATATGCATTTATTTAATTTAGAATTACGTGTCTACAATGCCTTTATTCAAAAAAAAATTATTCATTATAAATAAATTAAATAAGAGAAATAATTTCATTAGTTCTATATTGTCTTTATTTTTCTCCAATATAAAAATTCTTTATATTCAAATTAATCAATTGATTATATTCGCTACATTGTCCCTACAATGTCTTTATTCAAAAAAAATTATTCATTATCAATAAATTAATTAAGAGAAATAATTTCATTAGTTATATTATCTTTATTTTTCTCCAATGTAAAAAAAAAAAAATCTTTACATTCAAATTCATCAATTGATTATATTCACTACATCGTCTATTATCTTTTTTGTGCACTATTTTTTAATTTAATATCAAAGTTATAAAACAAAATAATGATATATATTTATTTACCTAGTATTTTATTAATACCATGAAAAAATAAAAATATATATATAATTAAGCCAATCATATTAACTATTTGAGGGATTTATTGACAAAGAGAGTATTCAAATCACACAACGTCCTTGTTTGACAATCATCAGTTAGCGATTAGCGTTAGTGGATTTGACCAGTGAATTATATCAACGGTTGGAAAAAAGATATTTGACAAAAATTAACTGTTTAAATTAACATGTAAAATAATCTAAGGTATATATTATAATAATAATAATAATAATAATAATAATAATAATAATAATAATAATAATAATAATAATAATAATAATAATAATAATAATAATAATAATTGTTGTAAAATCCTATATATAATAAAGCTATATGGTCTTGTGTAAATTAAATGGTGATAATCAACATTTAATTTTCACAAGACCATAATAATATTGTTGTTAATTATAATAACAATAATAATAATAATAATAATAATAATAATAATAATAATAATAATAATAATTGCCATAATAATAATGATAATAATGATAATAATTGCAATAATATATATATATATATATATATATATATATATATATATATATATATATATATATATATATATTTATTTATTTATTTATTTATTTATTTATTTATATTTCAATTTCTACTGGCAAATTATTGTGTGAACGATTGTCCACATAATTGTATGGATCATGAATATCAAATACATTGTTAATATATTAAAAATACATTATTTTTATATTGAAAGTACCTTACATACATATACAATGTACCCTTACTATATTTAAAATATACTTTTTATTGCATGCAACCTCAAAGTTCATAAGTTTGAAATTACTATATGGCATAGCTAGGCGGCCTAATATTTAAGATTGTTGATGTGCATATTAAGGACTACGGAGACAAAGATGCGTTATTTGTGGATTCATCGGATACTATCCAACAACACTCTCCAACTTAATTGACGTGAAGTAGGCTTAGTAACATTAAGATTATATTCTCGAATTTTTAGTTCTCATCTTTTATTGATTACACACTTAATTCGATAGTATTTTGAAGAAAAAATCAATGTTTGAACTAAGATTGTGATTTTGATCTTTAAAGGTCAATTGTTTGTTGCTATATCTAGAGTTAGAAATCTCAAAGGTCTAAAAATTGTGATCCGTGGTAACTCTAAATTGTAATTCAATTACTATTGTAGTTTACTAAGTTCTTAAAAATTTGTAATATTAAATATTATCTACTAAATTTTTAATATAGTTTAAGATTTGTAGTAATCACCCACCTTAAATATTATTTGAATTGTAAATATATTTATGTTCATACTTTTATCATAGGAATTCACACATAATAATTATTAAATAACAAAATTTTTATATATAAATAAACCTCATATAGAGTATATTTTTATAACATATTTTCCGTGCATCGCACGGGACAAATACTAGTAATAATAATAATAATAATAATAATAATAATAATAATAATAATAATAATAATAATAATAATAATAATAATAATAATAATAATAATAATTTAATAAAAGAAATAAAATTATAAAAAAAAAAAAAAACAGTTTTGCCACTTTTCCCACATCGGTGGGAAAAGTGACATGAGAGGGCTCCAATTTAAAAATTAAGTTTGCCCATCTATTGATGGGCAAGCAGTGAGTCAGTGAAACTGGCTCTTGTTATTCAAAGAGTCGAAATAGCTTTACAGAAAACTTTTTTTGTTTAAATATAGAGGTGTTTTGGGAAAATTATTCTAAAAAATGTTAAGTGAAAATATTGTAAATTGCAATGTTTGTATTTTTAGTGGTTTGGAACAAATTGTTGCTTCAAACTGTTGAATAACCAAACACTTTCTTTAGCATTTTCATCTTTGGGTTACATCATACTTACCAATCATCCAATATTTTTGGGTTACATTATAATTAAAAATTTTAAATTTTTACTACATCTAAATTCCTTAAATTAATAATTTCTTTATCCATAATAATTTATCCAACAATAATGGTTGAACTAAATGAACACTAAGCAAAACATAGTACCATTAATTCATTCATTGATCTTGTATATATGTTCATTCATTAAATATATTAGAACCCTTTGCAACAATAATACTTGGTTACTATTTTTTTAAAAAAAAATTAGTAAAAATTATAATGAATCTCCTATATTACATTGTATACATATACTATGAGTAACATATTTAAATAAACAAATTCGACATTAAATTACTTATGTATAAACTTCTCATATATAATCTTGTATGGATATACTTTTAAATATTTATTTAATTATAAACATTGGACATTAACTCATTCGCCCATTGCGTGATTGTATACTTCCCTAAGAACAACGGGATATTCCCAATTGGAATTCTTTATCAATTTCAACTCCTTGGTAAATACGGTAAAATTTTCTTACATTATAAAAATGATAAGTTTAAGCCAATAAGATTAATAAACAACTTAGAAATAGATCATGACAAGTTGAATTGTTGATAATAATATTTTAATTGATAAAGAATGTATGAAAATAATATAAAAACAAAACATAAAATATATACGATAAAAATATCATGCTTCCTCAAAAAATATAATGGACAATTAAAAAAGCATTGGAGTTAAATAAATTGAAAGATTTAAAAGTTCATATGCACCACCAAACAAGCTACATAAATCCTAATCATATCATATCTGTTACATCGAGCTTAATCCGATCCCCTCCCATCATCCGACAACCGGAACATATAAGTGGTGCTTGGATAGCAATTGAAATTGCGGTCACCTCCAAAGCCAAATTTGGTGTTGTAACCCGGATAATCTTCAAGCCTAAAATCAGCATATTTCACCAACTCAAGTCCTTGCTTGTATGCCAAACCAGTTATGTCCCAATAAATATGACTCCCATTAGTCTTGTGTGTTATATGGATCTCACCATCCTCACCGATCATCTTCACCGCATTTTTAAGAAATGCTCGCACAAGTCCCTGCTGACATCTGCACTACGTAAAACATCCATCAGATCAAATTAATTAAAGATTATAATATCACTATCTATTCCCAATCTTGATTGTATTATTATTATTAGAAGAAAAAGAAAAAGAACTGACTGAATCGAAGGAGATGGAGATTTTTTGGACAAACGAGCGAACGGAAAATTGAAAACAATGCGATCAAACGTTAAACCCTCCAACCGTAACAGTGCATTGTAGGCCATGATTCTAACATCAACACCGTGCATCACTGTACATCCCTTATTGGTCAACATATCAACGTTGGGAAGAGCATTCTTATAGTTTTCAGCCAAAAAACCTGGAAATATAGAAACACAAAACCTAGGCATTCAGATTTAATTTTGTTAACAATAATAATAATAATAAGTAGGTAAAGTAGTTACCGTGGGAGTTGAGAGAAGTGGCAACCATGTTAGAAGCGTCTCCAAATGCGGTGGCAAGAGCAGCAGAAAATGAGAAGTCTCCTTCTCCAACTAGTAGTATCTTTTGGGAGCTACTGTAGTGTTTTATCCACTTCGCATCTTTACCTAAAACCACACCACCAACCTTATTAACCATCTCTTCTCCTTTCTCTTCATCATCTTCTAATTCCTTGCTCTTATTCACCATCTCATCTTTTTCTTCTTCTTCTATTTCCTCACCCTCATTTATCCACTTTTCATCTTCTGATAATGCCAAACGGCCCATACCCTCACTTATCGTCTCCATTATATTCCACTCAAAATTGCTTGGTTTCTAAATACTAATTGGAACTACATACTGATATATATAAGAGGCATGCATGAAATTAATATAATCCGACTAAGGTAATTAATTTTTACACCTCCTTTTTGCCTTTTACACTTCTCCAAGAGTCCCTGCAGTGGCCGGGTTAACCTAATAAATATCTTTTGGGGAGTCATTATTATTCATTAACAATCCAATGGGAACTTTCATTTTCCATGCTGCCATGTACGCTCTCTTCTTCTCTAGTGACAAAAGGTGGAATCGTCCACTCCAGACGCCCCTACATGCACCCCATCTGACAATTTGTGGAGGAGTTAATCATAGTGACTCAACTAATTAACTAATAGAAGCTAGCATTAAAGTTTGTTTAACAAAAGTTTTATACCGCCCCTGAATGCAAGCGGTAGTATGGCGTCCGAATCTCACTAAAATATGTTTGGAAAAAAAAATGATGGAAGGTTTGGATTGGATCTCATGTGTGTACTTTGAAAATTAGGATCTGACGGGTGGTCCACACGCAGATTACTTTTGCAGTGCCTTTAGGAGTGGGGTTCGATAAGTTTAGGATTAGTTTAGCAAATTTTGGATCACCAAAGATTAAAAAATAAAAAAAAATAAAAAAATAAAAAAAACAAACAAACAAACTTTATACCAGATGTCACTACAAATTTTACTTCATTTCTAATACTCTCTATATGGCGGATTCATATTGACGATAAACACTCCATTTTATTTTGTCTTAAAAAAATTTAAAAAAAATAAAAAAAAAAAACTTTTTTAACTAATCATAATTTGTGACATGGATCACAATTGCATCATCAATGACACCCTCAAACAACCCGAGAAAGATGACGTAGATCGGATGTAGTGGCGAAGGGAGGCCGGGGAGCGTCATCGTGTTAGCGGACCCCTCCCATTTTGCCGACCCCCTTCCCCCCTTTTTATATTTTACTAAAAGATAGGAGGAAGAAATCCCTATCTTCGAAAAATCTTTACAATAACAAGAATTGGAGGATTGGAAAGTAATTTTCCATCTTCACTTGAAAACGGGGGGATCTGGGTTAAGGATGGTCCTTCCCCGCTTCTTTCCAAACACAATTGTAAATTCATTTTTAGTATACAATATGTCCATTTTGACTAGAAATATATTAAAAATAAATTTATATAAAAATATAATAAACCTACTAAAAATAAACATATAATATTAAAAAAAAATGTATCATGTACTAAAAATGAACCTAGAATATACTAAAAATAAACATAATAAACTTACTAAAAATAAACATATAATACACACACACAAAAATGAAGGTATTGTATACTAAAAATAAGTATATAATATACTAAAAATAAACATGTAATACACAAAAAATTAATTTACAATATACAAATAATAATAATAATAATAATAATAATAATAATAATAATAATAATAATAATAATAATAATAATGAATCTACCATATATTAAAGTTGAATTACATTAATTAAAAATGAACTTATAATATACTAAAAATAAATTGATAATAGACTAAAAATAAACAACGACCTACAACATACTAAAAATAAACATACATTAAGATGCGTATTGCAAGGTGAACCACATTGACCAGGGACCCGGGTGAATCGGGTCGGGTCGGTCGGGTCCACGAGCTCGGGTAGTGCCGAGCTCCCTTACCCGAGCTCGGGTAAGGCCGAGCTACCCGACCCGAGCCCAACACCACGCGGCTCGGGTCGGGGCACCTCCAAGGTTTCTTGGGCCGAGGTGCTTTGGGCTCCATCGCGGTGCTCCGGGTCCACGTTGCTACCCCAGGTCGGGTCGGGTCGGGTGTATAATATATCCGTCATGAGTTCCCCACTCTCTTCGTTGCGAGAAGTCGACGACGAAAGAGAGTAAATGTCCCGAACCGACCTCCATGCACGAACGTGGCCGAGCTCACCATGGCAGAGCCCCTTTGTGGCCGAGACATCCTAGGCCGAGGTGCCTTGTGCCGAAACGTCTTGGGCCGAGGCACTTTGTGCCGACCCCAACACGGCCGACCCCTCCCTCAAAGATTATACTTGATCGTAGCGGCTTGATTGTAGCTTGTTCGACGTCCTCCTTTCTTTACGTCATGTACTAAGATTTATCTCGACATTTGATGAAGTATTTTGCTTTACCTCTTTGCTTTGTAAGGTTTAGTGTTTCGCACCCCTCCTTGCTATTTTTTTTTTTTTTTTGGTGAGCCCTCGGGTACTGCCGATGTGCTCGGCCTCGGTCCACGCCAAGGTACGAGACCTCGGTTCGTGCCGAGGTGCGGGACCTTGGCACAAGCCGAGGTGCCACCACGATGCACCTCGGTAGTGTGGCGAGGTGGTGCACCTCGGTATTGTGCCGAGGTGCGACAGGCAGGAAATTTTTTTTCTTTTTAAGCCTTATGTTAGCCTCCTCAGTCAAGTCTCATGAGACTATGCCTCCGGGCTCCTCCGTCGGGGTCCGTACGCGAGGATGGACCTCGTTCCCCCTTAGGGTACGTTAGTCGCTCGAGCTAAGTCCTTTCGAACTACGCCACCAGGATCTTCCGTCAGGGTTGGTACGCGAGGTTGGACCTCGTGCCCCCTTAGGGTGCGCTTAGCCGCTCGAGCCAAGTCCTATCAGACCAAGCCACCGGGTTCCTCCGTCGGGGTTGGTACGCGAGGTTGGACCTCGTGCCCCCTTAGGGTGCGCGTTAGCAGCTCGGGCTAAGTCCTTCCGGACTACGCCACCGGGCTCTTCCGTCGGGGTTGGTACGCGAGGTCGGACCTCATGCCCCCTTTAGGTGCGTCCTCCGTCGGGGTTGGTACGCGATGTTGGACCTCGTGCCCCCTTAGGGTGCGCATTAGCCGCTCGAGCTAAGTCCTTCCGGACTATGCCACCGGGCTCTTCCGTCGGGGTTGATACGCGAGGTTGGACCTCGTTCCCCCTTAGGGCGCGTTTGGGGAAATCGAGTGAGCACTCGTTCCCTCCCCTTCATTTTTGTGGTTTTTTTTTTAAAGGGAGAAAATAAATGAAAACCATACTTCGTAACAAGAAATTTATTCCACTTATTGCCATCCATTAAGACATTATTGGGGGAGGGGAAAGGTCCTCCTCCTAGAGTAGCAATGCCAAGGTCCACCTCTCACGTGGCGGGGTTACTGGTAGAATTTTAGCAAATGCTCCGAGTTTCAGACCCTAGCTATCATTTTCCCTTTGGGGGTCTTGAGCTTGTAGCTGCCTGGGCGGACCACAGCTGCTACAATGTATGGGCCCTCCCAATTGGGGCGGCAAACTTTCCTCCGGCCTGGGGCTAGCTTGCCCTCTCCTCCTGAGCACAAAATCTCCGACTTGAAAATAGCCGGACCGGACCCGCCTATCATGGTATGCTTTGGTTTGTCTTTGGTAGTTTTCGGCTTGGATCGCAGCTGCCTCGCGCCTGTCGTCGATCAGGTGGAGGTCGGCTCTATGGTGCTCCTCGTTCGTGGCGGGGTCGTAGTCCTCCTCCTGCCGGGAAGGTATGACCACCTCCGCTAGAGCTCGGGCTTCAAAATCGTAGGCCAAGGAAAAAGGTGTCTCCCTAGTGGCCCTTCGAGGGGTGGTGCGATAGGCCCAAAGAATGGTGTCGAGCTCCTCCACCCACGCTCCCCCGGTTGACTCAAGCTTCTTCTTCAGGCCATCCACTATGGTGCGGTTGGCATTCTCCACTTGTCCATTTGCTTGAGGGTAGCACATGGCTACCCGGCTGTGGGTAATGTGCCACTCTGCACAAAACCCCTCAAATTCCTGCCCCTCAAATGGGCATCCGTTATCGGTGATGAGCTGCATTAGGACCCTAAAGCGGCACAAAATATTTTTAAACACGAAATGCTTGCAACGGGCGCTTGTTATTGTTGCTAGCGGCTCCACCTCCACCCATTTGGTAAAATAGTCAACTGCAACTATGAGGTACTTTTTTTTTCTTGACCCCATGGGTAGAGCTCCCACCAGGTCCACCCCCCTCCTGGAGAAGGGGATGACCGAGCTGATGGGGGTGTAGCTCGTGGCGGGTCGGCCAGGGCCGACTTGGAAGTGCTGGCAGGCCTCGCAGCCCCTGGCGTAGTCGGCGCATTCCTTGGCCATTTTTGGCCAAAAGTACCCCTGCAAGATGGCTCTCCGGGACATGGTGAAGGCCCCCTGGTGGGCGTAGCAGGTCCCTTCGTGTATCTCCTCCATGACTAGCTTGGCCTCGTCTGGGTACAGGCAGCGCAGCAAGGCGCCGTTGTACGACCTCTTGTAAAGTATGTCCCCCATGATCACGTACGTGGGGGCTCGTCGTTTCACCAGCTTGGCGTTGACCTCATCGGGAGGTAGTGCACCTGACTTCTTGTACTCCTTGAGGTGATCTAGCCAACAAGGAGGTCGGGCCTACACAGGTAGGTCGACCTCTTGAAATCTTCAATTCGGGCTATTTTTGAAATATGCTCCGGGGCCCCTTGGGCGAGCTTGGATAACATGTCGGCATCTGTGTTCTGGTCTCGGGGTACTTGTAGGACCTCGTAATTGATCAGCTGCCCCAATAGTTGGAGCACCACATCTCGGTACTTCCTCATTCTTTCATCGCTTGCTTCAAATTCACCTGTGACCTCGGTTAGGTCATCCGTGTAGAGGTCGGTCTCGGTGCTCTTAACAATCATGTCGTCGACGTAGGCCTGCATGTTGCGGCCGAGGACCTATTTGAACACCTTGGCCCACCATCCGGGTGTAGGTGTCGTCTGAATTTTTTAGTCCGAAAGCTATGACCTTGTAGCAGTAGACCCCCTCGGGTGTGGTGAAAGCTGTCTTCTCATCGTGGGCTTCCTCCATGAAAATCTGGTGGTACCCACTGAACGCATCTAGGAAGCTCATGAGGCACAACCTGCGGTCTCGTCCACTAGTTGGTCGATGTTGGGAAGGGGGAAGGGGTCCATAGGGCAGGCCTTGTTGAGGTCGGTGTAGTCCACGCACAT